TGTAGTCCTGTGTTGTACTACTGCTCCTATCAAAAGTAATTTTGAGTAATCATGCCCCAGATGGTTGAGCTGTAATGTGACTTCTTACTGATGCAGGATTTGCATGGTGGGCTCTTGACTCTTTCCAATCATGGGATACATATTTGCACGTTTTAAATAAAGATGGTAACATCCAGGGAATACCTTAGATTTCTGCCTTTATCCTACAATGTTTTACTTGCACAGGGTTGAAAAATTACTGAGTGAATTCTAACTTTTGCTCACTGGAATCTCCTAGTAACATGACCTAGATATTTTTGCACCTGTCGACATCTTGTCTTTGAGTCCTACCTTCACATTGAGCTTTAGAAAATGTGCTGGTGTGCAGTGATCCAGTTGAGCAAAGAAAAAAGGAAACAGTTAATAAAGACTGCAAACTGAAGGGACAAGCTGGCCTAAAAATGTTCCATTTTAAAATCCTTTTGCATTCCTTGTAAATTATTAGGCTTTCATTAAATGTTTTGAAAAGGGAAGAAAAGCATTTGGGTCATTTTGTGCATGGTTTCCTGGAGCGTAGTGAATGAAAAATGGAAGCAGAACATTTAAGTATTTAGGAGTCTACATGCTGTGCTGTGGAAAAGTAGAGATTTGACTCTTTGGTTCTGAGCAGCAAGGAGCATGCTTTGGTGTGGCTCCTGAAGGAAACGCTGCATGTGTAAAACCATTGCTTAATAAAATGGGAAATGTTCTCAGTTTTGTTTTTATCTGAGATATCCAACAGTTAATGTTTCTTATGCAAGTTTAGATAGAAATGTTTCAGGGAAGGTAAAAAATGGAGAATGTATGAAGTATAGTGTTTTTCTGTCATCCAGTTAGCATAGATTATTAGGTGAGTGTTAATCAGACCACTTGGGTGAGTGTTAATGAGAACACTGAGTCCTGCTGACAGCTTGCTGCTTCCAAAGGGATTTGAATGTCCTCCTCTTTATTTCTTTCTTCCTTATTTCCATGATTCTCTTGTTTATGCCTGTTCACAGACCATTTGGTAACACAGGCATTGGTAAGTCAATTTTTCCCACTCATCAGTGAGCAAAATAATTCTTTTTTTTTTCTTTCCTGCTGGTCCAGGGAACTGACTTGATTCATCATCAGCTTAGGAAGAAGAAAATGGGATGAAGTGGCAGGAAAGGCAGCATTTGACCATCTCTTTCACTGCTATGGTTTTGGATTGGCTGTTATCTTGTGAAGCCTCATCCTTTGGATTTAGTTATGGGGGTTCTGTCTATCCTCAGAAATTATTATTTAAATTCAAAGATGCTGATCACTTGGGAAAAAGTAATGAAATACTCTTCGTTACTGTTACTGACAGTTCCTGAAATTTCTTACCTCTTTGGTTTTCTGTGACTTGTACGGCAGCATTTATAGTCTCCATTTACTCATCTCCTCTTTTCATTGATGCTTTACCTTATAAACTCTTCACACATTTTCAGTCGTTTTTAATTTGCTTCAGGTTTTGATCTCAGACCCTGAAAAATTAATCAAAACTGGATTTCTCCTGCAGTTGTGATAAGTGCTAACCTGTAGTAAGGTTGGTGTCACATCTAGGCTGAATTAACACTTAGCTGCTTCTGAAGGTGTTATTTCATTCCTTCTCTGGCAGTGTTCTCAGTGCTTCACTTGGACCCACTTTGGTGTTTGTCTGATGAGGTGATCTGAGGAGATAGGCAAAAGAAAGCCTCAGTTTTAGGTTCATCTGACTCTGTCAGCCTTCTCCCTGCTGGGTAAAATGAGCACCAGGCTTGGCCTAAGAATGGAGAACCATGAACACACTGGCAAAAGACTTCACAGAACTGCTGAAATGGTAGAAACTGGGCCATCGATCACATCACTGGTTCTTGATTAGGTAGATACAAGATACAGCTGTAACATCAAGAAGGCAAATATCTTGCTCCTTTTGTTTGCACTGGAGTGTAGGAGGATGATATATCATAATGGTTCTATCCACAGAGCGCTTCAGCTTTCTTCATCCCTCATTACGAGTTCTTACATGCTTATATTAACAAGAGTTGGTACCAATGTTTTAATTGTCTGTTTGCCTCAAATATTTTTACATTGACCTTGCCACAAATGTTTGTTTGAATACAGTAGTATGTTAACTATCTAGATCTGCATTCGTGACCTCTTAGCAGTCTGTTGTTCACAAGAAGTTGCATTTCTATTTGCTCTGCATTTGAAGTTCATGAGGGCTGGAATTCCAGTTTTTCTCAGCATCAGTAGTTTTTCATTTCTCAGTGAAGTTGTCTTAATTTTGCTGCCAACATTGTCCAAGTGGAGATGTCAGAGATTCCTTTACAAAATCATTGGTTGTTCAGTTGTCAGGCATCTGGAATGCTGGAGGTGAACCTTAAGACATTGTGTTATTTCTTCATTAATGCTTTCTAGGTCATGTGTTTTTCTAAGAAAGAAGGAACAGCTCCAGATTTAATAGATTTTATATTTCTTAACATCATTAGAAGTTTCTGCTTAGCATTTGCCTCTTCATTTTGCTAGGGTTGGCAATTTTCTCCTGCATTAATAACTAAGCAGAGCAGCTCACAAGCTTTAAGGCTGTTATCTTTAAATTGCGTTTACATATTTATATTCTGCTGAGTGAATGTCTTGCCTTTTAATATACTGTTTTGTGGCACATGTCACATGCCATTCTATTTTCTGACTGAGAAAAAAGAGACCAAATTTATTTATCATAAGATTCATGTAAACCTTTTAATATGACTCTTTTTTCATTAGAGTTGATTCCAGTTTAATACTGTAGTACTGGTTTTTGTATCCAGCCTTTTTGGTCCATTCCTCCTTTGTAAATATCTTAGGTAATTACTTAACTTCACAGTAATTAGTAAAGTATTTACTGAGAAAGCAGAGCTTTTCAGTTCACCAGGAAAGCTTGAAGGTGGAAATTCAAGAGGACAAATAGGTTAAAAGCACAGAGTCAGTCCTCAGTAAGGAATGTGTGCATGTATAGGAACATGAGTTTATAGATGGAGGGGTTGTGTGTATGTGCGTGGTTTTTGTCTGCATTTATCCATCAAATAGATGTCTGCATGTATCTAAATGTTATTTCGTGGCTAGGAACAGCTTTATGTCTCTCTCTGTTTTATAATTCATTTCCCTACTGTGTCAGCATAGAGGAGAATGAATTTATGTGTACAGAATCCATCTTCCAAGACACATAATGCATTTTTTTAGCAGTAGGTTACAAAAATACCCTATGATTCTGTTTTTTAAAATGGCTCTGTAGCTGTGTTTCTTTGTGGTGTGTTTGCTTATGAGTTGTATGTATGAATGAATTTAAATGAAGTAGAGTGTTTATCAGAATATGAGGGTTCATTCAGAAACACAGATTTAAAGACAAGCACTTTTAAAATGCAATATCAATTTATTTTGGGAATACAACTGTAATGCACTGAGAAAAGGTAGTATCACCTACCCAGAGTGTTTAGTTCTTGGTATTCTTAGCAGTACTCCCTCAATCACAGTATTATGAAGCCTTATCCTAAGAAAGTTCAATAACTTCACCTTGAGTAGCCTTGTTGGAATTTGAAACAGATTTATGGCAGAAACATGTGGTCCAAACAGCTGTCACGCAAAACCATTTTTACAAAAGCCCCTGAAAGTCTCATAGACTCAGAAATCTGTTGTGCATGTTGTTTTGACGTTTTTAAAATGAAGATAATACTAAATACATCCTTCAGGAAAAACCTCTAATATAGGCCTTTAACATAAATCCACAAGTAAAATAAGCTGGTGTGCTTGGTCAGATGTGCCTTTCTAACACAGCACTCAAAGGACTTTGGATTTATAGCTTGCCTTTCCTGTGGAATTACAAATAGTTTGATAGTACGTCAGTGGAGGCATGAAAATCACAGAAAACAAACCAGGATTTGGACAAGGATCAGAGAGTGAAAGAAAGAGTCAGCATGAATGCATCTGTCTTAGGGTTTTGGATTTGATTAAAAGAACCTTAAAATTCTGTCAGTGTAATCTCTCCAAAGTAAAGTTAGGAAATGCAAGTTTGTTTCCTGGCAATAGCTCTGTTTCATTGCCCAACATATTGGGACGTGGAGGGTGGATGCAAGCTGTCTGGGGAGAAGCAGAGTAAGCCATTCCCCTCTGCTACTTTCCAGCACTGAGGCATTCCCCCCATGTTGAAAAATTATTTTAATGCCCCTTGTTTAGACACTTGTTTCTGATCCACCCTGGCCTTTTCCTATCTCATGGACAAGTTCTCTCAGGGAAATAAGGAGTAAGGGTTTTGCTTACAAAAGGAGACAGACCCTATAGTGCAAAGGGGAACAGAGCATGCAGATTACCAGGTTTTATATGATATATTTAAATTTTAACATTTAAAAAATGTTTGATGTGAATGATTCTGCGATTTTCAATGATCTTGTATGACAGCGTCAACTCCAAGTGGAAAAATAAGTGCTCTAGAATGAAGAATATCTTGAACAAAGCAGTAAAAGGAAGTGGGAAGGTGTAAATATTTCATGCTCCAAATGGATGGATGATATGATAGTAGGCATAAGTCAGAGGTGTGATCATGACAGATGTAAAGGAAAGAACCTTGGAAATTCCAATTTTGAGTAGAAGATGCACTGAAGGAAAAAAACCACCTTGTTTTGAAAAAAATCAAATACAACTGAGTTGCTAATGCTCCATGTGACAGTGGATAAATACATGCTTGCTGGTCTGACTGCACAGTTTGTCACTATAAGGCTGCTAGTTTAACAGGAACTCACCTCAGCCGTGCTTTGATTTCTTTAAAAACTGTAAGGTTTCATTCAAGTACTCCTTTTTTTTCTTTTCTGTTTTTTGTTCCTTTCTAAATAAGAACTTCTCTGTGGCTACTTTGCAAATGCCAGATTAATCATGAGTTTTAATATAGTGTTCAGAGAGCATTTTTTTGAATAAACAGCATTTTATTAATTGTTTTCCATTTTTTTTTCTTCTGCCTCTCATTTCAGAACGGTTTGATCACCACTGTCCCTGGGTAGGCAACTGTGTGGGGAAAAGAAACTACAGATTTTTTTATATGTTTATTTTATCTCTGTCCTTTCTGACAGTCTTTATATTTGCATTCGTTATCACCCACGTCATCCTTCGTAAGTATGCTGGTGAAATCAGATTACGTATGTAGCCATTTGCTTGAGTTTTTTAAGTTAATATTTTGATCATTCAGGGTTTATTTATTTATTTATTTGTTTGTTTATTTGCCTTTTCTCTGAAGCATCACAATCCCCAGTGAGTCCCATTCTGGTCTATAGTAGGTACTGCTCATAGTAGTCATTGGCCTGGCACTGGCTTTACCTTAATGCAGTCTTAATTTTTTTGGTTTTGATTTTTTTTTGTCCTTTTATGGATGATTAATTGGAAGAGCATCATATATACTGTATGTTTAAGTGTACAGGTAGTATAATTTACCTAAAGAACTTTTGTGTGCTTTTTTACTGTAAGCATGGGTCACTTGCCATCCAGACAAAGAGGTAAATTACTAGAAAATAGATTGGAGCTATACTTTTTGTAGTTTCCTGCTTAGCTTTACACCATTCTCAACCCAATTTTTACCATGTGTTTTTTTCATTTGCATAGACATTCTGAGAAGAACCAGTTCATAATAGAGTGAATCAGAAATATTAATGAGTTTGAGACTGATTTTTATTTGTATTCTGAGTTGCATTTGAGATCAAAACTCTTTTAGGTACTGTCTTTTGTTTCCATACCCCTAACTAATTTTGCTGGCTCCTATATGGTGATGATGGTGACAGGTTGCATGACTTGTCTTTAAGCACCTTTTGTATGTTGGTATTTTTAACCCATTATTGCTAAAAGAGCATTCTGTATTTTTCACTTATTATATAGAATATTGCCTTAAAGAGTGTTTCTTTAACCAGTTTAGAAATGTGATCTGTTTATTCCTTTATATTCTGTATTGCAACAGAAACCTGATAGAAATAATAATTTCAGTATATAACACACAAAGTTATCTTGATAATGATAATATTCAGAGAATGTTTTACTGGAAAAAATATGTCAAATTGTGCTCAATTTCTAAAATTGTTTACAGCATGCAGGGAAAAGTTGTATTTTAAAGAGCAGAATTCCTCCTCTTATTTGTTATTTCCAAAACTATGATGCAAGCACTGAGAGGCCCTCCTATAGCTAGTTCCTAAGCTAGAGCTGGGATCTGTACTTCTGAGGGAGTCTGAATGAACAACTTGTTTACATTACCAGATACAGCATTTCTAATCCCAGTTGGGAAAAGCAGAGATAAGATGTATATATTGTTTAAAAAAGATAAATTATTGGAAAAGGAACATCTGCCACTACTTAAGTGCTTGTTACTTATCTGGGCATACATGAGCAGATACATGCACACGGGTTTTTTCTGCAATCTTTGCTAGTGTTCAGTAGTTGAAAACATTCCTAGTCTGACAATGTAAAGCTATTTTTGACAGTATCCTACCTTTGTTTCACAAGGACTTCAGTGCTTTTTCTTTAGTTTTCAGTATGTGAGTTACCAATATAATGTCAGTATTTCATGTTATGTTTGTTAAGTAGGTTTATCCAGTGGATTGGAAATTTACAAATACCTAACTCCTGAGTATGATTTAGACAAAGAGCAGAGTAATTAATTGTGCTTTTGTGTGGTTGAGAAGCACTTGAACATTGTGTAGGTGTTACAGATTACGTATAGTAAATGTTAAATACTGAATTGCCTGTCAGCTGCAAAATATTCTTGCCATGGAGGTTCATCTACCTAGAATGAGACAAGACAAAATATCCTTAAGCTCTAAAGATTGGTCAGTCCTCAAAGGCAATGGGAGCAGGTATGAAATGTGATTAGTTCCTTGAAGTTTGATTGATATACTGAAGCTTCAAGCCCAGCTCTCAAATTTGTCTGCTATAAATTTGTCTTGACAGTGTCCAAAAAAGAGTTCTTTAAAAATAGTTTTTTCTTATCACTCCACTCTCTTTGTGCCTACCATACCTCTAGAAGTCCTCCTGCCTATCTTTCTAATAATTACCACTCAACAATTTGTGTTCTGGTTTGTAGCTCTTCAGTTCTTTAGCTGATGCTGACCATTAAGCAGGATTCTCAGTTACTGAATGTGAACCTTTACTCTTGGCATAGACTGCTTTTTGTTAGCGTGGCTGAAGGAAGTCTCGTTTCTTTTTGCACTATATTTCAAAGTCATACATAAGTCCTGGAAAAATTATTTTAATGCCTCTTGATTTAGACAAATTTTTAAAGTTTGTATATTTTTTATAATGCATCTTGCAAGCTGGCATTTTAAGATTTTGGTGGGCCTAAGTAGTGATGAAGATATATCTTTCTTTTTCTGTGGCCTTCTGAGGCATACATTGGAAATTTGTTCTTTCTAGGTTTAAGAATATGTGCACATAACATTACTGAAGATAATAAAACTAATTTGTGAATCAGTTACTCAAGATTCTCTTCCTTCTCCCCAAATTGAGCACATTTCCAGTAGTAGTATCTGTCTTTACAGTTACTTGTCTCTCTTTGAGGCATCAGTATTTCACCTGTTTGTTTTGGGCACTGGAAGACTGTGACTAGCAATAGGGTATAGAAATTACACCTATCTGCTGCCATTGCCATTAAGGATGCTAAAAATAGTAAGAAGGCAGGGAAAGTTCCATTAGTGTTGTACCTTGAGACTAAGAACCAATTATAAGAGTCTGAAAAAGCTCAGAAATACAAGGTAAGTAACTTCCCACTTATAACAATAAAAAGTAAAACTGACCAGATAGGTATAGAGAATTATACCTATATTTCTTTCTTCTTGTCAAGACAAGATTCTTCTCTCCATACAGATCTTCAGATTAATTTAGCTGAGTGGAAAATTTTTGTTATGGGGAAAACTTTCAACCTGATGCATTTAAATAATTTGTGTTCTACAGTAAAGTTCGAACTGTGTGCCTGTAGCTATGTCACATTAAGGCAGTTTCTACAACAAATTCAATTGTTGCAATCAGAAAATTGTGAAATCACCCTATTTTATTAATATCTCATGGTTATGGAACCCAAGCGCTTTTTTACTTTGCATGCTTCTACACTTCCAGATGATGGGCTCATGCTTCCTTTGAGCTATTTTCAGCTACTAGATTGTCTTTTATTTGCCCAGAGAGAATAGTAACCTATTAGAAAAATCTTCTGTGTAAGTGCAGTAGGAGAAGAATTATAAATAAGAGAGCATCAAAGGATGCAAAGTTGGGAATCTGAGTTTATAGAATAAATTTTCCAAGTCAAAAATTACTTTGAAAAATGGTGTTTCAAAACAAAACAGGAGGTTATAATTTTTGTTTCCATATTAGGTCTGAAAAGGACAGGGGTAATCAGAAATCTTGTTCATGGGAAAGTATGTGTGCATCAATTTAGTATGACTGAGAAAATATCCTGCAGATTCTAAACCTGATAAGGACTTTTTTTGATGTTGTTGCTGCTGAGCAACATATTCTCAGCTTCATATTAGTAAATCTATTCTATGATTATTTGGTTATCTTCAAATGTTAATAATTTTAACTATAGTAAAAACAGCCCATAGTCCAGTTTCTTGCTTGGCTGGTAATTTTGGGTTCTATTTCTACAGGTTCTCAACAAACAGGGTTCCTCAATGCTCTGAAGGACAGTCCTGCAAGATATCCTTTCCCTGAAACATATTGTAGATTTTGTTGCAAAATAACATCTGAGATGGTTTTGATGTTTCCTTGCTGTTGTTGACTTGTGCTTTTAGACTTTTATCAGTTAATGATTTCATCACTTCCTGCGCAATAGGATTTCTTGCCACATTTTGGATGTAGGAAAGAGACTATAGCCTGGGGTGGTTTTTATTCTTTGTGTTTTGCAGAGCAGTGCTCTTGAAAAAGATCTGTAGTTTCTATGTCCATTAAATATGCTTCATATTTTGTGGTGGAATTCATAAATACATTTTGCACTATACACATGCTGTGGTTTCACTAAAAGCATTCAAGGATTGTTCTGCTTTTACAACTGAAGGTATCCAAAATGGCTGATTATTTTCAGGATAGAAAATGTAGGTTTTGAAATAACAGAAACAACATGCTTTCCTTGAAGAACTCAATTTCTGAAACTGCTGTTTATGTTTTTAGATAAGTCATTGTCAAATAGCAACTTGCATTAAGTTACATAGCACTGTGTAAATTGCATACACAGGGACTACAATTGCTGTTCAGCCTGGAAAAGACAAGACTCTGGGGAGATTTCATTGAGGTCTGTCAGTATATAATGAAATCTCATAAGAAAAACAGAGAGGCTTCTTAGCAGAGCCTGTGGTGACAGAAAAAGGTTTTAAGCTGAAGGAGAGAGGATGTAGACTGGCCATAAGAAAGTTTCTGCATGAGAGTGGTGAGATATGGGAACAGGTTACCCAGAGATTGGGCTGATGCCCCATCTCTGGAAATGTTCACAGCCAGGCTGGCTGGGGCTCTGAGCAACCTGGACTAGTGGAAGACGTCCCTACCCATGGCAGAGGGTTTGGGACTATATTACCTTTAAGGTCCCTTCCAACCCAAGCCGTTCTGTGTTTCTATTCTGTAAATGCTCCATGCACTGTTTATCACTTCATGGGAGCCTTTTGTATATTTACTACTCAGTGAGAATGGAGCCAGAAAGCAGCTAACATAATAAAAAACGAGAAACTGATGAAACCATTGGTTAGTTTCTGTACAGACAGTAAGCTTCCCATTGCTTATGTATATGTTTTGAATTATTCCTGTCTGAATAAACAGTTTTCACCTCTCATAAGGACACTATAAAATAATTCTTTCCCATTTGTCCGTTGTGCCTCACACAGTTTGCTTTTCCACACAAAGATAGGAAGAAAAAATTGTCATTTTTAGTTGTGCATAGAGACCTCTTTCCAGGTAATTTTCCCAAGTGTCAAATTGTTTTGTGTGCTTGTCTTCATCAGGTAGAATCACTGAGCTATTAAGTCCCTTTTTAAGCAAAGCCATGTTCAGATTTTTTTAAAAAGCACGAACAAACAGTTCTAAATAGAGTAACAGTAGCTTCCAATTAAAACAATTGTAGTAAATTCTTACAAAAGATAATTCTTTCAAACTATTTTCAAACTGAGAATAGCTTTCAGTTCTCTTTAAATCAAAAGAGAATTGCTTATGCATTTGAGGATTTTTGTACAGGAACAGTGGCCTGGAATTCACAATTTTTGTTCAGAGATGTGCTGCTTTAAAAGGCTTAGTAGTACATCCTGCAGAAATGCCTGGTTTGATAGTGATGTTGGACAATTTAAAAGCTTGGTTACAATTAATAACAGTAAAAAATTAAATTGTCCAAATAGTATTGGGAATGCTACTTTGGAGCCAGTTGATTCAGGCACAGAGAACATGGCCATTTCAATTTTGCTAACAACTCTGTGCAAGATACTGAGGGGAAATATACTGTATGATGCTAGTAAGATACTATATCATAATATGCCAATGTTGTACTTTGCTGAGAATACATTGCTTTTTTGTGTTTGTTTTGCAGTTAATGGACTTAATTTGAATTAGTGGATTCTGGTTAATTTGACATAAACTACCCCGATATTCTTGAGTTGGTTTTGGATCATTGTGTGAGGAACTGAAAAATGTCCCTTCCTGTCGGGAACTGAAAGAGGTCTTGAACTGGAAGGAATTCCCCTCTTTTTTCTTATTTTTTTCTTATTTGTTTTTTTCTTTTTTTTCCCCAGTAGGAATTACAACATGGAGAGAAAACTCACTTTTCAGTACCCTTTTGAGTGTAATTGAGATGAGGAACATCCTGTCAGTGATATGTTCAGGTTGCGGGGAACTCTTTTCCCTCTAAGGTTCTTCTTTTCTGACCTGGTGAATCTTCCACCTGGTGTGTAGATTCTACCCAATCATGCTCATCTGCAGCCTTCTTTACTATTTCTACTCTTTCAAAGCCCAATTTGTATTGTGCATGATGTTTTGGGCTGTTTCCTTCTTTTACACATTTTGGAACCCTCTGCCAAGAATCTGTTTCCTTACCCATTATCCCTTGTACTCCTTGCTTGAGCTGTGCCTGTTGCAGACACTCAGAGTTTCTGTCTTGTGCTGGTTTGGCATCACACAGCCTGAGGAGGAAATGAGAGGCAGAGTAGTGAACCTGCTGCTCAGCAGTGCACTTTGCTCATCCTGCTGCTTTTGGAGCAGATCTGCTCAAAATGCAAATGGCTCTTTTCTGGCTTTAAACCACTCTGATTGAAATAGATCCAAGGGAAGATTATACAGACACTTGAGGTATCTCCCAGCTCATTATGGGTGCGCAACACTGCAATACAAAACTCTTTACTTTTAACTAATGTTAGGATTTTTTATTGCAGTTATTTATGTTCATCCATGCCATTTCCAGGCCGTGTCTCTGTGTAATGGTCAGGAGCTGTCATATTTTTCTTCTCTTGATAGGTTCAGTAATAAGGTGTATTTTCTGTGTTCTAAGGCTGTGTCCTCATTCTGGAAAATTTTGAGTTGACGTTGTCTTGGAAACTGACTTCACTAAAGGTTGATATGGTTAATATACAGATTATTTTTATCCTATTCTTCTCTCATCATTTTGTTCCTCATGATTAATTCTATGTATTTTTCTAGGAACCAAAACCTTTTATTCTATTGAATCATGTTCCCTTAAAAAATCCCAAAAATATTGAAATACTATAGAAAATACTATAGCATTCTCAAAGCAGATGTATTCTGAGTTCATGGCTGTTTTGTGTAAATAAATAAATAAATAAAAGCTGTAGAAGAAAGCCTTCTACAGAAAGTTTGGAAAGTTCCTCTTTATGCTTGATTCTATACAGTTTAGAAGCAACTTTACTGTCTTAATTATGAGGTAATGACTCTAACTTTAGAGTTAAAAGAATTATACAAACTGTATTAAGTATGCAATGTTGAGTACTGACTGTGTGCATGTGCACAGTGGAGGTGAGGATGCTCATGCTGGACATGTCCCTGTGCTGTTCCCTGTAAGTCACACATGATGGCACCCCGCGAGCTGCCACCCTGGGCTGTGCAGCCCTGGACACTGCACCTCACACCCACAGGCTGCTGGCTGGACACACTCTTCTCACCGTGTCTGCAGAGTGCTGTGTCTGGCCTAGGCAGATGCCTAGAGTTTCTTTTTTATTGACCCCTTTGAAGTACTCCAGAGATCTCAAAGGACTTGTGAACTACCTTGTATTATGTGACTTTAACTGTTATTGGATTTTTTCCCCCATTTGTGTATATTTCCTTGACTTTTAATTACTGTGCTGGAAGCTGTGGTGTGTTTTTTCTCAGTATGGTCCATTGTTGGCCTCTCAGGTTTTCATACGTATTTGATCAGCTCCAATCAAACAACAAATGAAGATGTAAGTTTGTAGTATATTGCTACATGTGTATTTCTAAACAGTAATGAGGAGGTTTTTCTCAAGTTAGACATGTCTGCATCGTTTTGTGAATACCTCAGTAGAAAAGAAGGAAAGTAATATGGTCATGCTTGATTCAAAAGATCAGATGAAATCTTTTTGACAATATTTGTTGAGGTTTGAAAATGGTCTCATTATATACGTAGTATTTCCATTATGGTTTACATATATAGGATCTCTGTCTTGAAATAGGAAAATACAGGAGGGAGGAGACAAATAAGTGTATTTTATACAGTAGGAAATTAACAAGTTCTTTTCAGTATCTCCTTTTCACTGGGAGTGGTAAATATTCTTTAACTCAAAAATTGCTTACTGTGAAACTTGAAAAGTGTGTTGAATTCTCTAAACAAAAATTTCATCCTTTATGTTATCTTACCTCTGAAACTTTTTTGCCATTCTGAGGTCCAAAACCTCTGGCAAGGAGTATATGATTAATTTGAAGTTCAACTTTTTCATTTCTACAGCTGTCTATTTTGCATATAGGATTCCTTTGTTTTGGTGTTGAATTATGCTTAACTGTGTGTAGAGTTTTCATGTGTCCTTCCCTAAATAAAAGGTGAAATGTGTAATGAAAGGAGAATATAAAATCAGCTATGGAGCTAATGGTATAGAAGGCTTTTGGAAATTTAATAAGTGATATAACAAAGCACTGCAAGCTTTAAGTTATTTTATTGTAATTTCCTGTTGTGCCTTTTTCATAGGTATCTGGTAGATATAAAAGTAGCATCTTTTGTTTTTGTCAATTATGTTTTGTTATTCTTTAAGGTCACAGTTAAAATTGTAAATATCAATCATCCAGAAAAACACTTCCCAAGCAAAATCAAAATGAATTGTCCCTCAGCATCAAGTATCAAAACAAGTAGCCTGACTTGGAAGAAATCTGCCTTGTTAATAAGACAGATGAGATACCCAGTTATTCCTCGGTCATTAGATTTATGCCAAGGTTGTCTCTCTAGATGGACTTAGTGTGCTTCCACCCTCTTCCATCAAATAAATGTCTCTTCTGGATTGTTGAAAGATAGATAGCAGGGAACTGCAGCAGTGGAACATGTCTGAATATCAAGTAAACTGTTCAGTAATTTAATGTAAAACATAAATTCCCAATTGAATACAGCAAGACATTTTACTCAGGCTCTCAAGTATCTCACAAACAGAAAAGCAAACTAGCTAAGGGAAAATGTAATAGGCAATAAAAGGTAGCAATGACTGCATTTGCTTTATGATATTTTAGAACCTTTTGTGAACTTTAGGGAAGATAATGTTGTGTGATATTGTGCAGTTTGAAAACTTACCCAAGAGGATGGAAAAGAAGCACTCAGTTGCTGGCTTTAATCATATTTTGCAATTGAGCCTCTTCTGTAAAACATGCTATAATATTTGTAAAATTGAACTTGGACCATTATGCTTAGATGCTGAAATTCCTGTTTTGAGTATATTGATCTCTTGAGATTGTGGGTTGTCTACATCTGTGGAGCTAAAGCATGTGCTCGTATGGTCCAGCCTTCATAACAACCCAGAACTCTTAAATTGTTTGGAAAGTGTCATTATGGATTTTCTGTGGTCTCTTCTGCAAGTAGCATGTTGAAACTTTAATTTCTCACAGCCATTTTCTGTATTGTATTACATGTGATGCATATTGTTCATATCTCTTCAGATTAAAGGATCATGGTCAAATAAAAGAGGTAAAGAAAACTATAATCCCTACAGTTATGGCAACATCTTTACTAACTGCTGTGCAGCTCTCTGTGGGCCCCTTTCTCCAAGGTAAGCGTATCAAAAGTATTGTTAGCATAAATGAAGCCATGTGATGATTAATGAAAAAATTATTCTTCTTGATTATTTGAGTTTATTCAGCAGAATGAAAGTTTTAGATTAGTGTCTGTTAGAAGCTTTAAGTTTTTCTTCAGTGGTAAAGAGATAAGTTGGTAAATTGTGTTTAAACTAAGTTAGTGATCAAGTCTTGTAAAATTACATCAGAAATGGAAATAAGTTTGTTTGTTATTTGTACTTTCACCACTGCAGTTAATACCATAGAGCAATAAAAAATTTCTAGTAGTTATCTGTTGCATGAAGGTCAACCTGGAAGTTTATGAAACTTTTACATACCCAACAAATGTGACATGAGTTGAGGAGAGTTGAGGAACCTTAAATCTACAACTAGCTTGATAATTGTTGATTTTTGTCTTTTAACTCTGTAATGTTGTATTTAAATGGACAGTATTTTTTTTTTTATTTAATACTGTTAACATATATATATTAAACTGATTTTGGTGGTCTTACACCAACACAATTCCAAAGAACATGTAATGGATTATGTTTTCCTGAATACATTTTCACCTCTGGAAGTCTGAAATATTTATATATTTCAGGTTGGAGATGTGTTTTCATCTTGAAGAAAATGTAGTACAGAGCTGAGTCTAGAGAAATAAAACTGGAAGCCAGAAAAAACTTAATTCTTTTCTTATTCCAGTGCTCAGTGATTAGGCAGTTCATGTACTACATGCACATAGAGGCCCATTTTCACTGTAGAGAGGGGCAGAAAAATTTGTAGATAATTTTGTGGCCTGCTCCTTGGTTGGTGTGTTTTGCTTTGCCTGGAATTGCAAAGTTATGAATCTGAACAAGAAGAAAGAAAGTAAATTACTTTATGGTCCAGAGTCTCAGGGGTTTGTTTGGAGTGAGATTTCTGGCTTTGCTGTCAGGAATGTCGGAGGTGGTTCTTCCATGAGCAGTCGGAGTTTAACGGGGGAGACTGACATCTTTTCCTAAAGGGGAAACAGCAGAATAGAGGTTTCCACATACAGGGTTACCCCTGGTGAGGGTGAATAGCTTTGTTTCTGCTTCCTGCCTGTATAGATGTTGCCTGAAGCCAACCTTTTAATTCTGAAATTTTACTTTTGATAAAAGTATGTGACATAAAAGCTTGATGCCACACTTCAAATTCTTTTGACTCCAAATGGAAATCTTTATTAAAACTACAGCATGTTTCTCAGTATATGAAATAGTATATTAGGCTAATAAAAGTAGCAGCACACAATTGGACCAGGCTGGCATTGACTCATGTGATTTAGGAGAGTTTGTGCATTTTTTCCTAAATTCCATGTAGCAACATTACTTATACAGACATTAACGTGTATGTATAGAGGTTCTGCAAGGAGGTATTTTGTGACCACAGGGAAAAATTTCCTGACTGTAACATGTAAATTATAAGCTTGTGCCTTTTACTTTTCATCTCAGCTATGCCCAAGTCACTAAATATTCAGTTTTTTCCTGAAATTCTGGAAAAGTGGCTTACCAGTAATTTCAGCTCAAAATTCAAAACCTTCAAGTACCTTTGAGCATGGAATGCAGATGAAGAGAGGGTCCATAAATAATCAAAACTTATCTCACTTATGTTAAAGATCCTTTATAATTTTTAAACCTGTGCTACCAAATTCAGAATGTATTTTACGTGTCGTCAACAGTGACTTTCAAATCTTAATTTGATCCTTGGCTGTCAGCATAGGTCTAACCAGTATTCTGGTGCAACAAATTATATAGCTTCTCTAGGCATCTTTAATCTTTAACTAGGTTGGATTATTTCATTCTGTGTATTTGGTTTTAATCTTACACAGATTTTTTTTTTTTGCTTACATTTAGTTATTTCTCCATAGAGCATTTTCTTAGAAATAAGAAGTTTTATGAGTGCATCACTGTGGTAAGCACAGTGCAACCCTATAAAGCAGTGTTAAGTGGCTGTCATGAAACACCTGGCAAGTTAAGTTGTCTGTCAGAAAGAAAGATTAAGTTTTCTTCATTCCTGCTAAATTTTGTGATTAAGTAGTTTCAATTTAGATGTGGAAGCTGGTAAAAAAAAGGAATCTTTAAAAGAGATACTGAATCAAAGTGCCCTAAGTGAGTTTTGTCATTTGTTTTTTCACCTGTGGTTTAAAATTCTTTGGTTTTGTGGTATCTGCTGGTAATCTTCTAAGTCTATGTGATAAAAATCAAAAAAAGTAGCAGTGTGTGAGCTTATATGACAGGCAGTATCACAAAGAACAAGTACCTGGTGAGTAGAGAATGAAGCACAGTACTTCATTTGACTAAAAGGTAACATTAGAATCTGTTGGTGAGGCATTAAGGTCTGTGTATGATAGAAAGTTTTTATTTCTTTCTATTGAGAGGAGCTAGTTATTGATCAGCAATGTCTCTAATACTTCCCTTTACTGTGATTATTCTGTAGCTTAATTGACAGAAGAGGATTTATACAGCCGGATACACCGCAATTAGCAGGACCATCAAATGGCATTACCATGTACGGGGCCACACAATCCCAGAGCAACATGGTAGGAATCATCCCATAGTGTTGTTCATCAGGATTCCTGTGAATGTTTTTCTTCTCCACTTTCATGTGAACTAATCAAGTAATAACTAACTGGATACAGCTGACACACTGGGTGGAATGAGTTCTTTAATAACAGTAAAGAAAAAATACCCCAAAGTCCAAGGCTCTTTTTAATGTGCGTTTCACACAGTGTAATAGTTACTGCTCATGAATTGTAAAAAAAAAAAAGAGTCTTTTCTATGCTGTTGATTTATTGAATATACTGGCATTTCGACTTTTGCTGTTGACACCTACTGTGTTTTGAACTGGAATATTCAAGTATCATGGACTTACTCTGGTTCATCATTTTCCTAATTATTATTTTGTGTGGCACTTTCTTCATACTCTATTTCCTTCTTTGCTTATGCACTGCGGTTTTGCATAGATTAATGTATTTTAAAAAGCAAAGATGAATAAAGAGGAGTTTCTAGGGGAGAAATATTTTGAAGAAAGAACAGGAGGACACTGAACTCGAACAAAAAATGGCTACTGAATTGTTACAACAAAACTTCTTTAAATGTCTTTGAAACTGTGCCAGTAGTATTTACTTTGGTTTTTTGCTGGTAGCATTAGCTATCATTATGGAAGATAGGATTTCCAGTGCCAAGAAGAGAATAATTGGAAAGGGATCTTTTTCTGAAGGCAACCATCTTGCATATGTGCCTATTTCTGCATTGTTGTCCACATATCTTCACTTTATGTGGGTTCTAATACTTTCTCAAAGAAGATGTGAGTTATGGATACCCTTCTTCTGCCAAAAAAGAGAAAGCCACGAGGCCTTCTGACATAGTTCAGCCTTTCTTTTGAACAAAAGAAGAAAAGATGCACTCTTCCAGATAGATTAGTTTTAGTCTCACTCATAAACTTGTATAAAAATTTTGCAGTAGTTCCTAAGCTGATTTTACTTAATGTTTTGAGAATTAAATAGATTTGTTAGTTTCCCTAATAAGAAAATGTATTAGAGACATGGTATTAAATCTGAATCTTCTGAGGTACAGTTGAGCAGACCAAGGTAATGCTCTATGTCAATTTTACTCAAAATATTGTAACTCTGAAGAGAGAAAAGTGAGTTAAAAAAAAAAAAAAAGAGAAAGCAAACACTAGAAATGGGCTGAGGTCTTTCAGGGATTACCCAAACCTTCTGATGCTGTCAAGGCTTCTTATTTGTGAGGATCATAAACCCACAATGTGTCCATGGCATTAAATTGTCTTTGTCATTGCAAGAATTTAGACACTATCATTATTCCTAGATATTAATGAGAAAATCTTTGCCAGTTTGTGAGAAAATTGACTACGTTTGTCTCTAGAAATGGAGAAATCTGTTATGGTATTACTTTAAATCAAACACGTAGCTGTCACAATTTTAGAGTATAATACCTCTAATTACACAAATTCTTTAAAGATTTCTTCTTATATCCTGGAATGAACTGGAAAATAAGCTTATATCCACATGAGCTGGGAAAAGCCTGTGTTCTTTAACAGTTATCAGAGTTGCTCAGAAATGTGCAGATTTCACTCCTGAAAATGACCTCTTAGAAAAGCTTGAAAAATGTAATGTGTCTTGTTTGGTTTGAAGGAGTATTTTGGAGGACTGTAATGCCATTTTTCTCAGGGCATCTTTTCTTTTCATCTGTATCCAAGACCAGCTGGTTTCTAAGGACTGCTGGCTATCAGCAATAAAATTTCTCCCTTGAGTTTTGTTGTAAACTGTTAAAGACTGGCTTAGTTTACCCATCTCTCTAACACTATTTTCCCTTCCCTGTTGAAGGGACTATAGCTGGTACTGGAGCTGGTGTTATGATTTCAGATAAAGACAGACAAAGTGAAATTCCTTGACTTAAAGGGGCATATGTAGATCATAGCTGTAGACCATAACACTTTTTCAGTCGCAGAAGTTTGGCCGTTTATACATCATCAGAGATATTTATACTACTTTAGCTTTATTTATACTACTTTAATGCTTTTTGATTACAAGAAATAAATCAGTAGAAGTCTGAAGTGTGTTTCAGTACACCTTTGTGGTGTGACTCTCTTGATTTTGTTGCAGAATGTATTATGTCAGCTCTTCATTCTAGATGTTACCCTGCTTAATACACAGTGTGCTAAAATATCTCTCCTCATCACTGATAAAAAAATAAAGATTTAAATCAGCATATTCTCTCTCACTTGTCTTCTCTTATTCCTTCCCTCTTTCATTTCCCTTTGTTCCCTCGAATATTTTACAGAATAAGCTAGGTTGGAAAAGACCTTTGAAATCGAGTCCAGCCTATGACCAAACCCCACCTTGTCAACTAGACTATGGCACACAGTGCCACATCCAGTCTTTTCTTAAGCACCTCCAGGGATAGTGACTCCACCACCTCCCTGGGCAGCCCATTCCAATGTCTAATCACCCCATCTGTGAAGACCTCCTTCCAAATGTCCAACCTAAACCTTCCCTGGTGCAGCTTAAGACAATGTCCTCTTGTCCTGTCACTAGTTGCCTGGGAGAAGAGCCCAACCCTCACCTGGCTAAAACTTCCTTTCAGGGAGTTGTAGAGAGCAATGAGATCTCCTCTGAGCCTCATACTTAGGCTAAACAACCCCAGCTCCCTCCGCAGTTCCTTATAGGAGTCACTGACTTGTGTCTTTCTAAACAGAATTCTTGTGTTTCACCCAACAAGTCTCTTGTCCCTCATTAAGTCTCTGTGGGTTCCTTAGTAAAATACTCTCTTTTCATTTATTTTAATTAATCTTTTAGCTTAGCCTCATTTTTGCAGTTCAGTTCAAAATAAATATCAGGCTAAGTGTAAAGTTGCCAGACACTGGTTTTCAGCACAATACATTATCTCTTTTTCAGAATACCATTTGTGGGGCACTCTTTCTGTTTTTAATAGCTTTTGTGGTAGTTTTGCCTCTGAGACTTTGAATATTTAGTACAGCATCTACCCTACTCATGGTAGCGACCCAGTTTGTCACAATCTCAGAAAATCAGAGCTTGATTTTGGTTTTTTTCTAGATCTTCATAGAAGAAGTTTTTCTCATGTTCTCTCCATAGTATCTACCTTGTTTTACTAAAAGCTGAATCTCTGTTTACTTCCCTGAAGGCTGGAAGCACATACAATTATTTTCCTGGTGCATTCCCAGTGTTTTTAATTTCTTTTCAATATAATTTGAAATTAGTCTGGTAAATTCATTAGCCAGCTTCTTAATATCCTTATCCACATGAAAAACATGGTCACTTGGAACTCATAATCTGTAGGTCTGGTAATTACCAAAGTATTTCCCTATTGCATTTTATTGCTGATTATTTTTATGAGCTCATTATCAGTTTGATTACCCAAGTATTTTCTTTATTCTAAAGAATTTTTTTTGTATGAAGCACAGTATCTCACCCATTATGATATAACAATTTTCTCTGTAATTTATTCTTTCTTTTATTTTAAAGCTTTTTGTGTGTGTGTGTTCTGAAAAAAGTTTTTATTTACCCATAAACCCATGAATTACCACTACTTGGGTCTGGACCACTGTAGTACTTAGTTTTGCTGCAGTTGATTCTTGGGTTTTGATATAGGGTATTTTATTCTTTAGTGGTCCATTAGGGGGAAACAGAGAATTTGTCTCATTCCTTGATTTTTTTTTTTTTTTTTGATGAATTAGTTTTGTTTATATTTACTATGATGTCTCTAGGAATTCTCTCATGTCTTATAAAATTATAGACTTTGCTTTGGTTTAAACTCCATGTCAGGACAGGTTTATTTCCTTGTTTTTAAGAAATGTCCTTATATTCTTACATTCCTAGGCATTTCTTCTTCAGTGTATAGGTAGTTCTGTGTGTCCCAAATTCCCTTGTTTCTAATTCTCCATTTCCTTTCCTGGATGCAAATTCTTTAGTGTTTTCTTACATATATGTACTGCTGAAAATTGTAGGAATTGTACTGCATGCACAACATTTATTACCAGTGATAAGTGCAGGAAAGTCCTCTCCCACATGTTCACTTAAGTATTTCTGTTACTGATCTGGAAATAGATCCAGCTGACTCAGGGAGCATTAACTCTGACCGTCCTTTGCTTTTCATATTTGCATTATTAGGAGTAAGTTTTTCTATCATGACAGTAACAGAATTGGCAAGGAACACAACCCCATTTTTCTGGGAGTTTTGCAAGTGTGTTTCCTTGTATATTTATTGATGTACTTCCCAGACACCCAAAACAAAACTCAGGGCTCTTACCAAGTCAACATTTCCACTGTCAGAGTTGACAGAAGTTTTTCCTTAAGGCATTTTACTTCACGGGTAAAATGGGTTACAGGCACATGCAAGTAAATAAATTTCAGCATTTGCTTTGGGTTGAGATATGTTTTAGGAGCAATTCTTTTCATAGTGCATGTTTACTGCATTTTTATTCACATCTCAGAGCAGTGTTGGAGCACATGAACTAGATTTATTGTAGAAGATACATCCCTGGAATGCACCCAAGTTGCTCTAAGAATTCTCAGACTTTCAGTCCATAAGAAAAAACAGCCTCCATTCTGAAGTAAAGTCTCTGGGCCAAGTGTAGCTTCCTGTTTGGCTTCAGAATTGTTTCATAGATGTACTCATCATGAATCTCTCTCTACTCATCTACTAGCTCTGTACTGCTTGATAGTGGAACCATTGATTTGGGGGGCTTCTGGCTCAGCTGTTGCACAGTATCCACAGCACATGGATTTTGATTGTGGAATCCTACACCTGCTGGAAGCAGTTACACAGCTCTGTCCCTCCACTCTTCACCCATCTGTTGTGCCCAGAATATGGTATTTCAGCATTCTTCCTGTACCTCCATGCCCCTGTCAGCCTCCTCTGAACTCTGTGTTGTTTGTACTTTATTCAGAGATTGTGAGACTACTCATCCTGCTTTTTTCCATCTTCTGAGAACTGTAAAAATTCTTGAATGTTACTAACATTTAGGAGATTTTAAACTTAAGTTTATTTAATATTTAAAGTAAATAATTCTGATTATTTCAAAATAATCACATTTAGAAATGTGAAAAATATATTGCCATGTACAACAATGTTGTTATATTTTCTGTGTAGCTTAGAAAAACAGATTTTCTTCAGGAAAAAAATTTTTCCTTAGTTGTTTGTATTTATTGTGAAATAAACAGTATTCTAGGTTTTGTCCAATTTGCTTCAATTTCTGCCTTTTTATGTGGAAATAAACAGATATCTAAAAATTTCTGTGCATATACTTAGTTGAACTTCTGTACTTGTAGAACTTATTAAACTTGTCCTACCTTCAGAATCTGCTGTTTTGGAAACAGTGGAAATTTTAAGTGAAAAATAAAGTCAGCATATCTGAAATAAGAAAATGCTAGTAGAATAATTTCTGCAGTAGATTTTTAGTTATTTAGATTTTAATGCTCAGCTTCCTTTTTGTTACAGTCATAGGCTTTTTTGTTTTATTTGAAATTCTGGTGTCGGATAATTCACGTGATTAGTAGCAGCTAAGACTTCCTGCCCTAAATTTCATTCAGTCAAGAGTGAAATAACAAAATTGACAAAAAAACCACCACGCCAACCCTATAGCAAATATGATTTCCTTGTTTTAGTTTTGTGTTGGTTGCTTGGACTCAAGAATAGTCTACCTGTGTATTATGTGTTGTTTCTATGAGATGTTTTGAGAGCCTCATAGAGCCACATACTTTTTCTGGCTTAGACTGTGTAATAGTTCCCTTTCTAGAAAGTTATTTACAGCCTGGATTTTCCTAAGGATCTTGTGCTGATCACTGTTGAACAGACAAGAAAAAAAGAAAAAGAAAATTTATCTAAATGAAAGGAGAGGCTTTAGGGAAGTGACAAGTTCATGGAAAATGAAGAGATATTTAGCACCTGAAGTTATAACACTAATGGAGCTTTATGAGGCTACCTTATCTTTTTGATATCAATTTAACTGAAATGCAGTAGCATTCCGTAAGAAGAAAATTAACTCAGACTATACAATGAGTTCAAGTAAATTATCCTCAGCTAAAACAAAGCTGTGTACTTTTATTGCCTGGAACACATTAATGATTTCCTTTTGAAGATCAGAACTGAAGGTTGACTAAAGCAATAAGTCAGCTGCTAACATTATTTGTTTTCAGTGTACCCCAGTGGTTATAAGCATTCCTTTGTTATTTAACTTGTTCTTTGGCTACTGCCTTTCAGAGAAAATAGGTTTTGGTGGTCTTTTTGAAGTTTGAAAATTCAGTTAACATATTTTTAAAGTGTGCATAGTAAGGTTGGTTGAAGTTTTAATTTAAATAAGCAGGCGTGAATAACAGGATATTAATCAAGAATTAATTATTCACACTGAATTACTAATTGAAAGCTTGACTTTAAAAGATGCTGACAGTTTTCTTCTTGGTAAGGTAGTTAAGCAAGGTTATGGCTTTAAGCCTGTGAGTAATCCCTCTGAAATGATAGGGAACCACTTTAGTTGTTTGGCTGGGGCTGTTCATCATTTTGTGGGGCAAAGATTGCTTGCAATTTATATGAAATCAGTTTATGTAACAGGAGGTCAGTCCATTTATCTTTCTGAAAGCAGAAGTCTTGGAAATATGCACCTGAGTAAGGATTGAGCTTCTGCCTGTCAAAAGTAATTGGTCTAGAAGTCCTAAACCACTTAGAAGTGTTTTAAACACTACCTATCTCTTATGATCAAGTAGTCTGCTTGCACACTTGCTGAATGTTAGGCGTGTGCATCCCTCATTAAGCTATTCAGTGGTGAAATTGGAGAACCTGAAAATAGCAGAGTTATTTTAATTAACCATTGATAATCGTGGTTTTCATCATACAATAAAGGAGGCAAAAGTCTTCCCATGAGTTTTCAGAGTGTGGCACAGTGGCGTATTAAACTCAAATGGGTGTTTTAGGGAATTGCCTATTTTGTAACAATATTAGTAACAATGGTTGTGGTGAGGAATATCTGAACAGATGATGGATCTGTAATATGTAGTAATTTGATAAAAATCGAAGATGTCAGTCATAGAGCAGAACATATTGCTTTAACAGAATACTTGAAATAACAGTGAATAGGATGTCTTACCTCTGGAGATATCTTTTATTCTGCTTGCTTGCCTCCAAATGTCCTTCATTGCATTTGTAGTTGTATTCACTGATTGTAGAGGTTTTTCTTATTCAGCAGAGCAGTACTTTGGCAAATGAATCGAAAAATATTTTGAAAAACTGTGATGTTATAACTGATCAGGCAATTAATTAAATATTTTTTTTCCTTAGCTCTCAAAAATCATGCCAATTCATGTTAAAAAAACTTAATTTGGCAGTAGGTGTACTACCCACTTAGTTAGCTGGACATTACTGAAATGCATACCTATGTATTATTGTACATAGGGTACAATTATAGGGTAATATTATATAAACTGTTTTTAGGAATTGTGTAGAGCCAAAAAAAACCATTTCTGCTAACACTCACTGAGCTTAACTGGATTTATATAATGCTGAATTTGGCTTATTATTGAGACAATGCTTGCCAGAAAATGTGTGTTTTGTACCTTGATTCGTCACATTGTCAGGATTAATCAAGAAACAGCCTAAAAATCAGTAAGGTTGATCTCAATGCATCTGCAGTGCTGCCTGCTTTCTACACATCCTCTGGAGTATGGAGTATAGTGTAGGACATTCTCTAGAATTTATATATAATGTATTAAGTTGTGAGGGGAAAAATTTTACTCATAGAGCTTTCTTACTAACTGTGTAAGATATCTCTGTCAAAAGAATTCTAGTTCTGGAAAACCTCTGTGGTAGGTTAATTCCTACATGTGAGGAATTCCTACAGTTAAAGGAAAAAATTGCCTAGTGTTTTTTAAAGAACCCTTAAATGAACACTGTAAATGTATATAATAATTTTCTTTGATAATAATCCAAAGCATTGGCTCAGTTATGCATGTCTTTCTTTTTTTTTTTTTCCTGGGCAGCATGCAGTGGGCTGTTTGGGTGGCTAACCATGGAATGATACTAATGGCTTTCTTTTTTTCTCTTCACATCCCATTCTTTTCCATACCTTTTTATCCATATTGTCCCTTTTTTTTATTCTCTGTTCTGTTTTTATATGATTTTGACACCCTTCCATTCTACAGTGTGACCAAGATCAGTGCATTCAGAGCACTAAATTCGTTTTGCAGGCTGCTGCCACCCCCCTCCTCCAGAGCGAGCCAAGCATAACTAGCGAAGAGCTCCCTTTACCAGGAAAGACTTCTCTCAGTGGGCCTTGTGCAACTCTGACTCTAGGGCAACCAACACCACCATCTTCTATGCCTAATCTCACATCAGATTCAGGTTTGACAGACATCATACCATTAAAAGAGGAGCACGAAGGCCATCAGTTCCTCACTCCCGAAGAAGCTCCGTCGCCGCCCGGGATGCTGCCGAGCGGGAGCCCCATTGCGCACAGCCGCACCATGCACGTCCTGAGCCTGGCCAGCCAGGACTCCTTGCACGAAGACTCGGTGCGCGGCCTCGTGAAGCTTAGCTCGGTTTGAGCAGCTTTTCTGAACATCACACCATTCCCCGGTGTCTATACAGATCTGTGCTTGGCAGGAATGGCGCTGCAGTACCGCTGTAAGGCTTCGTAACATGCCTGTAATGGAAACTTTATCACTTAATGGAGTCTACTAAAAAGGACAAGTTATTTTTTTCAATGGAGCTATGGCATTTTTTTGACCAGGTTGTTAACGGTTGTGCTTTGATGGTGACTGCTTTTTACTTTTAAATAAAACCAGAAAAGGTCAATAATCTCGTTTCCTGAAGCTGGGGTACAGTGAGTTGGAAGCCAGCCTGTAGCAAACACCATGTACAGTACTAAAGAGAGAGATTCTTGGATGTAAGTGTCATGCTCTGTGTTCTATGCTCTTGTAATACACACTTGTTACGGCTTACCACACCTGTGGCCAGAATGATCTGCACTTACGTGTTATGCTACCAATATTTGACATAGAAAATTGCCATTCCATTTGTTAATACAAAACAAAACAAAAGACTGCAGATGTGGATTTGCATGCCACGCTACAGTATGTGTTACAGTGGTGTTGGTATTAAGAGAAAGTGCTGCTTTTTTATTTGTGACTTTCAAAGTGCTGTTTCGTTTAAAGACAGTACAGCAAACAAATTAATGGACTATATTTTTTGAATTTATTAAATTTTATTTTAAATTAATCAGTGGTGCCTAGAAGATGATGAATTACTGATTTGATCATGTTGCATATCATTTAACCTTATGTTTAAGTGTTTAAGTGAGGTATTGTGTTGTGCCATACCACAAGATCCTTCCACTCCCTAATGTGATACAATTACCTGTGGACCTCCAATAAAATGACATCCTCTATTCCATTGGTGTGTACAGTTATCCTTGCACAGCTTTCATGGGGCAAAGAGGGGGAAATCATGACTTGTTGAGATAGTTTGTAAAGATTTTACTGGAATATGTGTACATGATAAAACTAGAGCTATGGAGGAATAGCTGGTTACAATTAGGATTGCTTCACCATTTTTTATGGTTTTGTTTGAGCTATGTATTTGTTCCCAGAGGAGGTCTTTATTTGGAACCAGTAGAATTAACCTCTGCTTGCACTATAATACAGTGTGGCTGAAGGGTGAGGGGCTTAAGGTTCAAGACTAAGACAGAGCTTAGTGAAGTAATCTTAAATGAATAATAATCTGTAGCTCTTTCCCAGCCATTGTTCGTCATTTGTATTTGTCCTTTGAATGGAAATTTTGATTTCATGAAATTCTTTTGTGCTTTTTGTTTGCCTGTTTAAGTAAAGCACAACTAGAAGATTAAAGAGAATTTTATAAGTATTTTTTGTGACAGCTGAAGAGAACCTTTGTTAAGCTGAAAAACTGTAATAGCTTTAATACTGTATTTACCTGCTTTTCAGGGTGTGGAGCCTGGATTCTTCTTTTCCTAGGACAAATTGCGTACAGAATGGGCTTTATCTGATGTTTCTATGGCATGGAAGCATTTACCAGTTAAGAAATGTAACAGTTCTGTATTGTTGACCATGGTCATTCACTGACTCCCAGCTAAAAAATCTTTTTTCTTTTAACTTTTGTCGTGGATATTGAGAACAATCAGTCTGCAGAAAATCATGCACCCGTGCTATTGAGGATTCAGACAAAATACTGACAAAATCCCTATTCCTGTAAGCTTTCATGAGCAGTCTGTTTCTAAAACTGATGATGTTACCTTGGGCCTGATTCAGTGTGTAGAATATAGCAGTGCTTTCTGTCTGTAAGTGCCACAATGGGTCCACCAAAGAACCTCAGGCAGACAAATCTGTCCTAGTTATTTAAGCCACTGAAGAAGCTCTGGCAGACAACTCTGTCCCAGCTATTGTAAACCACCTTCCCCATATTTTCCAGAAGCTGGGACAGTCTGGAGTTCTTTCCACCAGCCAAAGCGTAGTGACAGACATGTCCCACTTGGCTGGTCTCCCAGTAAGCCATGAGTTTCAGCACTTCTGTGTCTGCTCTTGAAGAAGTCAGTGATGCTCATCTTGATTTCACCTTTCCCTGGCATGGCTTCTTTGGTATGAAGCCATGAACATCTGCATTAAAGCAAACAGTGGATTGAGGGCTGGAGATACTGGTCTGATAGACGTGGGTAAAGAATCCCAGCTTTGAGTTTGTAGACTAGTACTTGATGAATCATTCTCTTCTCTAATAGGTGTCTGTGGGTAGTTAACTGTGGATGCATTACTCACTACTTAGAAGGGCAAGTCAAATATTTTAATATGGTATCAAAAGTTTCCATTTGTACAAGTCATGATGAGGATGATTATTTTAAGGAAATTGTTCTTTTTAAGTTTCCCTGAAATAGCAGATGGATTTTATGTTTCCAAGAATACCGGCTTCGTGACAACATTTGTATGTCACTGCCACTAGGGAGTAGTGAGGAAGGCTCTGTGCACAATAAAATTAGTGTCAGTTTTAACGTGAAAGGGAAGGGAGGGGGACAGGATTAGAGTCTTATGCTGTTTGCCTTGTGCTTGTGCTTTTCACCATCATTTTTTGAACCTTCTGTTTTGTTTACATGGGAAGTGTAAGAATTACGAAACATGGTGGAAACAGATGTGCTGCTTCAAATGTACTTGTTCAGGTGGTTTCTTTTAGTTTTTAAGATGACACTCCTTTTTTCTAAACATACTGCCACTGTTTTTAAATTTGGCTTTTGAGAATATACTGAATACTTTGAATTCGTTTATACATTTATGCCAGCCCTGTTTCAAGTCTTTTCCTCCCCATCTGTCTGTTTTAACTGGTGACATCTTGAACCTCCCAGACGTGCCTGCCTTGCGAGGACATCTGCTGGAAGGCTTCGGAACTAAGTGCTAACCCATCCGGATCGGTGATTGCAGCCTTTGACTGACGGCAGTCAGTGGTTCAGCAGCAGGTTGATCACAAAGGTACCTCTAACAGGGTTTCTAGATGCTTCCCCTCACCTCCATCACACCTGTCTTCAGTTCTGGGCACTCCCTTCGTTGGAACTTGTGTCTGTATCTGGAATGAGTCAGCAAAGTAGCTATTCATCAGCTTCTCTACAGATTTGATTGTTGATCATTTATTTTGAAGTATGATTACAGAGCATGCACACCGAGGATCCAAAATTATAATCCTTGTGAGTACTGCACAGGGTTTTTTCTATTTTTATTTTCTGTGACAGTATACTACTACTAAATAGCTCTTTCCATGTTCGATTTATAAATCTAGAATAAAAATTGATATTTTCAGAAGAGTAAATTATTTTTTTCTTAAAAGCCTGAAATCTTTGAATATGTAAAAACTGGTTAGTCTATCTGATTTAAAATATTTATTCTGCTTTGCTTTTTTAATAATATTTTTCCCTTCTACTTGTCTATATAATCTTCTTTGTAGAATGAAATACAGTGCTTCATTAATTTTTTTAAGGTTCTTTATTTTTTGTGATTTCTCAAAGATATTTCTATCTTAAAGTGAGTTTTGTATTCATAGCAGTTAAGCAGTAATGTAATAAATGTCCAAGTGTTGCTGTATTTTCCTATTATAGTACATCCTTCGGTAACTTTTCGTCCCTTCCTGTGAACTCATGATACAGGTAGATGTATTTCTGCACTCCTTAAAAATAATCTTATATATGGAAGATTAGCTGTTTTGCAACTTTGTGCATCCTAGACAATGTTCCCAGGAGATCTCATAAACCCAAAGACATAAGACACGGGTAAGACAAATTAATAAGACATGTCTTAGAAATGTGATGACCAACTTGTGGTAATGGAGATTTTTTCCCTTTTTTTCAGTCTGTTCAGTGATTGTAACAGTTCACAGTAACTAAATGGTTGCTAATGTTCAAAATCCTAAACAAAGGGGCTTCACTGGAGGACCAACAAAACTGAGCTTCTATTTGTCTTTTAGATCCCAAATTCAATACAATTTGAAGAACAACTCAGCAATGTTGTAGAGAGATCTAGTCCTTACTTTAGTTGTATTCTGGTTGCTATGTGGGAACTGTCATGTATTTGTTGACTTTTTCCTTCTCTCCCTTCCCCTCCTTATCAGCAGTGTTACTCTGAAGCTGCATGTGCTGTGTTTGACTACAGGCCATTCTGAGTCTTGGTATTAAAAGCCAGTTGCTGCCCAAATGATCCTGTTTTAGGGGCTGACATGAAATGAATTAGTATACTTCAACACAATTTCAAGTACTCCTAGGCCCAAAATATGAATGAAATGTGTTTTAGACAGTTATGTGTGGATTTAGTTCACTTAAATTAGAGCTGTCCTAGTTTTCAGGATTCATCTGAGTCACAGCTCCCTGATTTTGGTTGCCTGCCTGCAAAGGTGTTGCAGTTTGACTTCTGAGTGCACTGTCTGGGCTACCAAAAGGCTCATGAGATTAAGTGAGCTATTTAAACCTGTGGCTATCTAGATTAATTATGAGTCATTGCAGCAATTCAGTCCTGTCACCAGAAGGCAGCTGTCTGTTAACATTCAACTATACAATTTGAAAGTTCACCACAAACAGGACAAGTTGGGGAGAACAAGTTTTGGATGTTCTAAGGAGATTAGATAGGAGTTTGTTTCTAAGGTAGGTGAGAGAGGAGAGGAATAAGAAGATGAAAGGGAGAAAGAGTGAAAGAAGAACAGAGATTATCATGGAGGAAAAGAAGAATTACCTGTAAGCTGTGGAGGGCAAGGGAGGCGGTAGAAACAAAAAAGCCTCATGTGAAAAGAAATGAGGAGAGCTGTCAATATTGATCAAACAATGTTTTTTAAAATCCAAAACAACAATTACTCACTGGTATTCTTTTTTTGAGAAATTTCTTAAAAGTCATTCTAGAAAAAAAAATAAGGTCAGATTTTGAGAGAAAGTGATTGCAGGAAGATGCTAAGGAAAATGTGAGAAGTTAGTTTGCCCTCAAGCTCCTCTCCCTTAACATGTTTTTCTATTTCTGTTTTGAAAACACATCTGTAAATATAAAAACAGGTGAAGTCTTGGCTCCTTAGAAGTTGACAGGAATATAAGCACATTGACTATGATAAAAATGGGTATTTCCACACCACAAGTGCCATTGCCTTGGAAAAATGAATGCTGTAGTATGGTTTAGTGTTTCTTGGTGATGCCTTAATTAAATTTGCCCATCCTTTAGTGAAGTGTTTTCCTAAGCAGTAGTCTCACCAATTTAATATGGAGCCTGGAATTCAGTCGGAGTTTCTGTGACTATTGTGCAAATTGGAATTAAGACTACAGGCTAGGCAAAGTTTGTGGTTTGAAAACTGGAAAGATCTGTCCCACACAGTTGTATTTACTTTGCAATATATAACAAAGTCAGTTCCACTGGCAACAGAATGTTAATGACAATGTTATCTTGATGTATTTTATATGCTTTCCAACTTTAGCTACATTGCCACTTCTGAAAACCTGGAAAAACAGAACCAAGTTTAATCTAATTATAATTAAAATCTCCTCAAACCCAAAGCTGTTAAAGCTGCTGGAACTTATCTGTGTGTATTTAGGTGTAGTTACAGAACAGACATGAAGGTACCACCTCAAAAAAAACTTGGCTGAATGGTCTGTGATGGAGGAGAACCCTTGTAGCCTTTCTTTAGCTCCTCTTAAAAGCACCATCTACAACTGAGAAAAGCAGGCTGTAAAGTGTCTCACTTTGGGCTTGTGCTCTGTACACTGTCCATGGCAATCTGCAGGGATCCAAGTGCCCAGGGCACTGCAACTCAGAGGTGGAAATGAGCTGGAACTCCTTAGAGGCTGTACTTGCTCAGGAATGAGCTTTGGAGAGTAGGGAGAGCTTCAGCCGAGGCGGTGGCACTGCGGTTACAGCAGAAATGTGGGAGCTGTTCCTGTCATGTGCTGTC